TATCGTCAAGAGACATCGATCTACAGGTTGATACTGGCTGATATTTCTCTCTCAGCCCATTCGTGCGAGCATCCCGCTCTTTGCGCGTGGAGGTTCATCTCAAAGCATACTTCTCTAGGAAGCTCGTTAATTTTAGAAACAGATCTCTGAATCTGGAAACATCGATGCATTACAGGACTGGAAACAATGAAGCGAGGCAATAATGATAAAAATACAAGGCAAATACAATAAAGATAAATCCGAAAAGGCTTCCTCATCTAAAGGATGATATGACTGACGGGAACTGGAACGAGAGACCCACAAGCCGCAATCCTCAGGGAGGGTGGAGGTTCACAAACCTGGGTTCCGATTCCTACGCAATCCCAAGTGGTGTTCGCGGAAATGGCGGATGTACCCGTCGGAGTTTATGAATCCTGCGCGACATGGATTTTCAAGGACTATCCATTCGTGGTTGCCCTCCTCACCCCTATTCACCCTCCACGGAACGCGGCAGATGTGGAGCTCCTCTATGAGCTCGTCTAAGTCAAGCTCATCCTTAGATAGCTCCTTCTCCCCCTTTTCCTTCCGCATCGCGTTCAGTTCTTGAAGATGCTTTTTGGCTTTCTTCGAGTTCCGTGAAGGGAGAGTGACCTCAATCCCGACTTTGGCCTGCCTGATAGCCTCTAGTGTGTCATAACGGAGAGGGCGTTGACTCTCCGGTACCATGTTACACAGGAATCCATAGGCCTGATGAAACTCGATCAGCGCAGCTACTTCAAGAGTGACTTGTTGCTCCTGGTGGTGACTAGAGCTAGCTCCTGAACTCGACCCTGCAGAGACAAGAGGTAGATTAGAAGAGGATCTTCTCGATAGCGAAAGGGCGTACCTGCGGAAGCCATCGGAACAACAGTGTCGTTGCGGTTGGCGGCTACGTTCTCGCCGCTAAATAGTGTTTGTTTTTTTGGGCTTTCGTAATCGCTCACGTCAATAAAGTAGTCACATACATGAAAGCTCACTCACGTATCAGCACCGCTTGCATGCTGTGGAGCCCCCAAGGGCTCCTCTGCATTGGCGGCTGGTCGACCCAGAGAGCTCTGGCCCTCTGCTACGTTGAGGATGCTCTCAGTCTCCCCGACGAGCTCGACGAGGCCATCCGCCTCCACCTCCTCATTCGTACTGGCGCCCAGTACGTCCTCACCCTCCTGTGAGGCTTCGTCGCTGGAAGTGGAGGCGTCGTCCCCGTCTCCATACGCGGAGCTCGGTCCCGCGCTGTAGACAGTGAGTGGGGGCTCGGTGCCCCACTCTCCGTCGTCGGTGCACGCCTTCTTACTACAGGCGCATCAGTACGAAGGTATTTATAAGTAGAATCGAAATACTCACAGGGGCACCAACGGGCCAAGCCACTCTAGGTGGCTGTAATCCTCCGAGTCGGACGACTCGTCGGCGTCACTATCGATTCGGTGTCAATATCCAC